CTAACAGCTAGCTACTAATTAATTGCTCGATAGGGGTAGAATCAAATCCAAAATTTAAAATTTATGAGCTCCTATAGCGATTTTAAACTAATACTATAATAATAATAATAATAATAATAATAATATAGTCAATATGTATAGATAATTAGCAAGCTTTATTAATAAACGTATTGAATCCGAGCATAAGTAACACCAGTACAAAAAAATGAAAACTTTTCGCCAGGCATTTTCGACGAAATTCGTCAAAAATATGAGCAATCCGTCGGCAATAGTATGGGCGGGTCATATTTTTATTTTTTGGTAGTGTTGTTGGGTTCATGCAAACTCATCACTAACACCGTAGATTCACACCTTGTTTCTTCAAAATGCACATGCAAGTATACGTGGTCGACTAGCAATATATGAATGTAAGTTCAAATATCGTACCCAAAGGGACTAGTGATTAACTATTTACTAAATTAAACTAAAACAAATAATCTATTCAAGCGATTTTCTAAAGTATGAATATTTAACTACAACTAATCTAGAGTAGAAAACTAAGCGATTACAGAAAACAAATCGGCAGCTTAGAGACAAAATTAATGGGAGAAAATATTCCAGAGCTATGGGTTAGCTAACAATTCCGTTGAGTTTTCTACTTAAATTTTCTAATTAATTTTTTTGGTTTATTAATTGACAGGGTTAATAATATTACTCATAGTATTCTCCTAAATTACTACTCGCCTATTCAAGCTAATCTAACACCTATATTCTTATGGAATTAGGATTAACAAGAACGCATTAATAATTCCCGTATGGTAACCAAGCAAGGCGATTAGGTATATTTCTATCCTAACCGCAAATCCGTTCCCGATACTCAGGTTCAAGATCTCGATCTATGCAATCTAATATTCCTTCTCCCGAGTTCAANATGAATTGTACACGACCAGATATAGCTTGTGCTATAAGTAAATTGAGTCGATATACGAGCAATCCAGGCCAATCTCATTGGATGGCCATGAAACGAGTTTTGGGGTATTTAGTACATACCCAGGACTTTGCTTTGTACTACAATAAATATCCTGCGGTCATTGAGGGATACTGTGATGCAAATTGGATCACCGGATCAACTGATTCCAAGTCCACAAGTGGATATGTATTCACTATTGGTGGAGGAGCGGTATCTTGGAAGTCATCCAAACAAACTTGTATTGCCCGCTCTACAATAGAGGCTGAGTTCATAGCCTTGGATAAAGCCGGTGAAGAAGCTGAATGGCTCCGGAATTTCTTGGAAGATATTCCATTTTGGCCCAAACCGTTGGCACCAATATGCATACATTGTGATAGTCAAGCGGCAATTGGAAGGGCTGGGAGCGTTATGTATAACGGTAAGTCTTGCCATATACGACGAAGACATAAAACCGTTAGACAATTACTCTCTAGAGGAATTATCACGATTGACTATGTAAAGTCAAGTGATAATGTGTCGGATCCACTTACAAAAGGCCTAACTAGAGAGGTAGTTGAGAAGTCATCAAAAGGAATGGGACTGTGGCCGAGAACAAGTCATAGTGGCGGTAACTCTACCTAGAAGACTGGAGATCCCAAGATCTAGGTTCAAGGAGATCAAACAAAGTCATTTATTACGGTTCAACATTGTCAACTAAACTTTTAGTCCATTCTCGTGATGAGACAATGTTCAGTACCAAGGATAAAGCATTAAGGCTTTTTAATGATTTCTAAATTTGATACGGGGTATATCAAATAGTGTATCTACGGGATGACACGTTTATGAATCACCTATGTAAGTGTGAAGTGTCAGCCGCTTCAAAGAGAACATTGTAAGGCCAGTTCTCTACGCACTTATGAAACCAGGCAGTGTTCATGGCTGAAACGAACACAACAATGAGAACCAAAGACGGTTAAGGGTTGGTTGTGTGACTTGTGGTTGTCTAGGTATACACTAAAGTTCGACGGTTCAAAGATATCAAATCTACCGATTGATCGAGTATATCCGACATAAGTTCACTACGGAAAGTTCAAAGGGAAACCTACTTATCCAGATGCAATTAATCCTTACTTGCGAATCACACAGTTTTTCATGCATACTTCCGTGATATAGCCATTCCCCATTCATGTGGGGGATTGATGGGTTTTGGATGTGTTTAATTAATATATTAAATACTTAAAAGAGGGTGAATGGGAAATGGAGGGAAATAAAATTTTTGAGTAAAATTTTAAGTTCCCCCCCTTGGCAAATGGGCATTGTCCCATATTGGAAGAGGAAGAGGGTTTTTTATGGGTATATAAGCAATTGCTCTTCTTCTAGCTCTTAAAGAGTTGAGAAGAAGGCAAGCCTCGCGCCGTCGTCGTCGTCGCTCGCTCGGCTCGGCTTCGGCTTCGGCTACGGCTACGGCTTCGGCTTCGGCTTCGGATTCGGATTTGGATTTGGTCAAATGATCGATTGATTGATTAACTTTTTGGACCAAATTTATTTGTTAATAGTAAAATATTAACAGAAATGTTATTAAATATTTGTTTTAATAACAAAATATTAATACTAAATATTAATATTAAATCCAATTCGTTTTTCTGTTTTGGTAACAGAAAAGTAATTACCCTCTTCAATTTTCCCTTTTTATTATTGAGTAAATGGCCATTTATGTAATGGCATTTATGTTGTGGGCGTTTTGCATAAACAGCCATTCTGAAGAGACCCAACTTTGGCTATAAATACAACACTATTCTGCTCAGAATTTCACTACGATTTTCTGAGTTTCTTCTCCTTCTTCTGCATACTTTTAGCATCAAACAAAGCAAAAAGTAAGTGTGATTTGCTACCGAACTTTGTGTTCGCTGAAACACTGGGGTTTGAAGTACCACTACACCAGTGTGTAATTCATTCTATCCTGGGAGGAAATAATCCATAACCTTGGGTACTAGGAGGGGATTAAATTCCTTAAGGAAACACTGTGAATTCAGTGGGCTCGAATTGGTTTATGTCATTTCTGTTTATATTCATTACTGTTTATATTCATTTATATTTCCTGAATTTATTTACAAATACAGTCTACTAACAACACCTTGTTTCTTCAAAATGCACATGCAAGTATACGTGGTCGACTAGCAATATATGAATGTAAGTTCAAATATCGTACCCAAAGGGACTAGTGATTAACTATTTACTAAATTAAACTAAAACAAATAATCTATTCAAGCGATTTTCTAAAGTATGAATATTTAACTACAACTAATCTAGAGTAGAAAACTAAGCGATTACAGAAAACAAGTCGGCAGCTTAGAGACAAAATTAATGGGAGAAAATATTCCAGAGCTATGGGTTAGCTAACAATTCCGTTGAGTTTTCTACTTAAATTTTTTAATTAATTTTTTTGGTTTATTAATTGACAGGGTTAATAATATTACTCATAGCATTCTCCTAAATTACTACTCGCCTATTCAAGCTAACCTAACACCTATATTCTTATGGAATTAGGATTAACAAGAACGCATTAATAATTCCCGTATGGTAACCAAGCAAGGCGATTAGGTATATTTCTATCCTAACCGCAAATCCATTCCCGATACTCAGGTTAAAGATCTCGATCTATGCAATCTAATATTCCTTCTCCCGAGTTCAATCCTAGATTCGTAGATAGTGTTCAATCGGTGATCAAGTAAATCAAATAATTAATCGCAAAATTTAATAAATAAACCAATACGATAAAATAATAAGAGCAATTCAAGTTTCAAACTATAACGTTCATGTAGCACCAAAACTCTAAAACTAATAAACTATGAGATTAAAGGAAGAAAAGAGAAGGAAAACTAGTTGGAAGGCTCCTCCCAAGCATGGTTTATGTCCTCTCCTCTAAAGTAGTGTGTTCTCCTCCCAAAAATATATTTGATCTCCTCCAAATTAGGTCTAGGACCTCTTTTATACGAATTAATTAAAATCGTGTAGGGCCGAAATAATCTTATCCCGAACGAACTAGAAAAAGTCCCCGCCCCAGTATCCAGACCAGTGCTTCGCGCTGAAGGCAGTAAGTTTCCAACCTTCAAATCCGTCCATCACTTCAATTCCCTTCTTGGTGTTTGTTGTTACTTTAGTACATTAATCATTAGGACAATGAAGATGTCCTCCTTTCTTGTCTTCTCCCTTTCTTCCTTTCTTTTTCTTGTGTGTTTTATTTAATTTTGTTCTAAATCTTTTTATTTTTATACCGCTTTATTTTTACGTACACAGTTAAAATAATATTAAACATAAATTAATATAATTTATACTCAAAAGATGATTAAAAGTACTAAAATATAAGACAACAATGAGTAATATATCCATTTTTGACCTAACATCACCCCTTATAAAGTATAGTATAGCCAACCATTCAGGGGCGGAGTTAGTGCGTGGGTTACGGGTTTGGCCAAACTCAGTAACTTTGGTCTAAACTTTGTATTTATCTTAATAAATTCATTGGATATGTACAAAATTATTAATTTAAAACCCGTAACTTAAAAGAATTAGACAGAAGCGGACCCAGAATTTAATATTTATGGGCTACTGCAACGACCTTGAGTAAATTTTCAATAGTAATTCGGTTCGCATTCAAGTATTTATAGATTTTTAGTAAATTCTTTGAATACATCTACACTGTGTGGATAAAATCTACTGGGTTCACGTGAATCCGTAGGTCGGGAGGCGGATCCGCCCCTGAAATTAGAATTCCAAACCCATATAAACTTCAAATCCTTACTCTGCCTCTACATTTCTTCCATGGTCCCCTTCCTGCCATGCCACCCCCCTCTGTCCACCCTTCCCTCCTTCCATAAATATTACAGTTGACTCATTGGCAAATGATGTAAAATAAAAACCAAATTATTCTTGAATGAATCTTTTTTCTTTAATCCTGCCTTTTCTATTTTCTTCTATATATATATATATATATATATATATATATATATATATATATATATATATATATATATATATATATATCTTATTTTTGTTTTTTTCTTTCAAGAAAATGGAAGTAAAGAAGATAAAAAGAATTCGAGAGAGCAACAAACACACAGTATATCGAGGTGTTCGTATGAGAAATTGGGGAAAATGGGTTTCAGAAATTAGAGAACCACGTAAGAAATCCAGAATTTGGCTTGGAACTTTTCCTACCCCAGAAATGGCTGCTCGTGCTCATGATGTTGCTGCTTTAGCCATCAAAGGTAATATTGAATTATGTGACCATATTTTTTTAAATATTTACATTGTTATTTATAACATGTTCTTATTGGGGTTGAGGGCTAACTCATTATTATTTCATGAGTTTCTTATATTAAATAGGCGGATCCAGGATTTAAACAGTATGTATTTAACTTTTAAAGTTTTAGCATTAAACCCAATATATTTTTAAATTGATGGTTTCATATCTACTATTTTTGTAACTTTAATGAATTTTTATATTTAAACTTTTTTACTCCGCATCGAAAGTTACGGGTTCAATTGAACCGTCATCAACACTCTACATCCGCCCCCGGGAGGTGAAGGGTTCAAATCACATCACTAGTATAGTATTTCCTTTTCGTTACTCACAGTCCTCTCTCCCCTAATGTAAAAGGGCCGCCTGGGGCATTAAGCTCTCGCTATGCGCGGGGTTTAGGGAAGGGTCGGATTACATGGGTCTATTGTAAGGAGCTTTAACCTGCATTTCTACAAGAGGTTGTTTCCACAGGTCGAACCCATGACTTCCTGTTCCTGGTCACATGATAGCAACTTTACCACTTACATCAATTTTCTTCCCGAATGTACTAAAAAAATATTAAAAAGTTAATATGCTACTATTATTTACTAAACGAAAAATGGTTAAAAAAAAATGTGTCCTATTGTACCGTTCAAGTTATGCAACTCTATCATATGTTAAGCTAATTTTGATCTAATATAATCTTGTCCTTAGAAAAAAAAAAGTCTTATTTTTGTTCCTGCCAAGTGACATTATCTAATGGAACTTCAAGTTGAGAGTGATTTTAAATTATAGTCAAAAGTTGAGGGTAAGTTTTAATTTTTTCCTCAAAAGATTTGGACACGTGGAGATCGTCTATTTCACACTCGAACTCCTTTATATGGTAAGAGTAAACACGAGACGATTTACTAAGAGTGTGGATATGAACGGGTCTAAAGTGCAATAAATGACAAAATTAAAGAATTTCAAATTGTATATAAGAAAATTTAAACTTTTTTCTTTACTTTATTATGCCTTCAACACGCCATCTACGTGGGAACTTGATTCTTATACGAGTGAAACACGTAAAATTTATCCTTTTATGCATGTCATAATCTCACATAAAAGCTTAATTAATTCTCAAAACGATCATATTTTATTTAATTATATTATATCTCAATAGGTAACGATGCAACCCTCAACTTCCCGGAACTTGCAAATTCACTTCCAAGACCCAAGTCACTAACCCCCCGTGACATTCAAGCAGCAGCAACCAAAGCGGCTTCAATGCAAAACTCTGATTCTTCATGCAAAATCGATACTTGTATCAGGGTAGGCTGCTTACATCATACTAGTTGCGATGCAGCCTTTCCCCGGACCATACGTGAATGCAAAATACTTCGTGCACCGAGCTGTTCTTTATCATCAACTCTATCAACTTCTTCTTCTTTGTTACCAACTAATTCAGCAATGACAGATTTGGGGACGACGTCCGACGAATTAACACAAATCATTGAGTTACCAAGATTGGAAACTATTTTTGATGACTTGTTCGATTTGAAAAATGATTTTCTGTGTGCTGACTATCCTTCTCCTTGGTTGAGCTGTGATGGTGAATTAGGAACGATATCAAGCTGTTTCGAACCGTCTTTACTGTGGAATTACTAATTATGTCTTAGATCCAAATAAGTTACATTCGGCTGTATGAATCCTCACTTTATTCTTTAAGGTCAACTACGACTAAATTATAGAAGAGGAGAAATAATTTAGTATTTTTTTTATCTTTGTTAAATATGAATCCTAATTTCCATGATTCGTTACGGCTGTCATTGGTGTATGTGTATATATATAGAAATCTTCAGTCCTTTTTTAAAATTTTCTCAGAAGGTACTAAAACGACATTTCATTGAACTTCTTTATCCTCTCATTTGGTGATGTCCTTTAATTTGCCAGTGTAAACTTCTTTTGCATTGTTTCAGAGTCTACAGTGTTAGGAGCTAGAGAAATAAATGTCATAGAGTTTACCGTCAATTTAAATAATGTTAATTGTATACGGGTGAACCGAGCCCTTTGGACGCCTCGGTTATTGATGAAGTAAACGAAGAAGAGATGTGACTGTAAAGAACCGGAATCGAGGCAAGGAGCCCCTCAAATCGAGGTTCGGGACAAAGACCTGCCCTTGGACGAATCGGGGCCACGCCCCCCAAGTCAGATTCGAATCCCTAAACTTCGGAGAACGTCATCAGATAATCGACCACGACTCACAAAGGGTCGTGATATCCGTGCCCAGCCGAATGTCATAACGTGAATCTCAGCACGTACCGGCAGAGGATCAGTGATTAGTAAAATGAAAAATTTTACCTTTTATAAAATTGTACTTAGGGTAAAACTCTTCTACTATATAAAGGGGAGTCTGACTATTCATTAGAACATATTGTAACACGCATACCAAGGCAATTTACTCTTATTTTCTCTGCTATTCAAAGCTCTTATTGCTATTCATCTGTTCTTCATTAGTAAGAGCTCGTAATCGGAGGCAGATATTACATTAAAGCTGTTACTAAGTCCGGGTTCACCCCCATAATTGGTTTCACAATCTATCACGCCCCTTATCTGTTTAATCTAACGCAATTTATCATTTGTATTGAATTATCCGCGTATCCTTAAAATCACATATAAATTTAATTGTTATCCGTTTTTAGGGTAAACAGTTTGGTGCCCACCGTGGGGCTGAGGATAATAGTGGCAATTTGATACAAATTTTCATAACTCACTCTATTTTACACTTGTTCTTTGAGCTTTTAATTTTAGGTCGGATTAAAAATATCAAACTCCAAATCTACCCCTTTGAACGTCGATGCTAAGTCTGGCCACCACGGCGAGAACAACAATGTGGTACCCAGTAACGAGGTGCCCCCCGTTGACCCCAACAGAGTTCAGACCACGGGCCCGATCGATGCTAACTCACATGTGGCTATCAATGCAAACTTGCCTACCGACCCCGACAACAACATCCGTGGGGGAGCCCGATCAGTAGCTCGGAGTACACATGACGGAGAAGGTAATGGGATCAACTTGGGGTGATCTTCAAAATGTTACAGGCTCAACATGCAGTAATAGCCCAGTTGCAGAATCAAAGTCGCGCCCCCAGCAGAGTTGAGCCCGAACCATCTTGGAAAAACACTCACAAAAATTAACCAGTCACAGAAAGACCGAGTGAGGCTGAACCTGGGACCAATCCTGAGATAATAAAGATGCTCGAGGAATTGACGAAACGGATGGAATCGGGAGAAAAGAAAATCGAAGCTAACAACAAAAAAGTGGAGACCTATAACTCTAGGGTCGATCAAATCCCAGGAGCATCACCGATACTGAAAGGCCTGGATTCCAAGAAGTTTTTCCAAAAACCTTTCCCTCCGAGCGCACCTCCGAAGCCGATCCTTAAGAAGTTTCGTATGTCCGAAATCCCAAAGTATAATGGAATGACTGATCCTAATAAACATACGACCTCCTACACATGCGCCATCAAAGGGAGCAACTTGGAAGGTGATGAGATCGAATCCATTCTACTAAAAACTTTCGGAGAGACCTTGTCAAAAGGAGCTATGACATGGTACCACAACTTACCCCCTAATTCTATTGACTCGTTTGCTATGCTTGCAGATGCCTTTGTAAAAGCGCACGCCGGGGCCATCAAGGTCGAGACCAGGAAGTCAGACCTTTTCAAGGTAAAGCAAAGAGATAACGAGATACTTAGGGAATTCGTGTCGAGGTTTTAAATGGAACGGATGGATCTGCCCCCGGTCGCAGACGATTGGGTCGTTCAGGCATTCACCCAAGGACTCAATCCCCAAAGCTCATTGGTTTCACAGATTGAAGCAAAATTTGATAGAATACCTGGCGGTAACTTGGTCCGACGTCCAAAACAGGTACCAATCAAGAATCAGGGTCGAAGACGATCAGCTGGGTCCCCTTCCGGATCCATTTACCCCATTAGGACTAGCGACAGATCCAAAAGAGCCGTCGATCATGAACCAAGATCGAATAGAAATCGATATCAACCATACAATGAAGATCGAAAGAGTAGTGGGTCCGGACGCAACCCTGCGATGAGTGAAAGAAGAAGCGATCGAGGTCATAATAATCAAGGACTCATGAGCAAAACAATTTTGACAGACCCATCGGGTCTAAGGAAGCACCAAGCTTATCCAAGTGCAACTTCAACGTCGATGTTGTCAGCATCGTATCAGCCATCGGACACATCAAAGATACTAACTGACCTCGACCATTGCAGTCCGATCCTACCCAAAGGGACCCTAACCTAATGTGTAAATATCATGGCACTCATAGCCACAGAACCAAAGACTGCCGACAACTGAGAGAAGAAGTAGCAAGGTTATTCAACAACGGGCACCTCCGAGAATTTCTGAGTGATCGAGCCAAAAATCACTTCAGTAATAGGGACGCCAACAAGCAGTTCGAGCAAGAGGAACCTCTGCACGTCATTAACATGATCATTGGTGGAGTTGACGTCCCCCAAGGGCCGATGTTAAAACACACCAAAGTATCCATTACAAGGAAAAAACGGACTCGAAATTATGTAGCGGAGGGAACAGTATCTTTCAACGACTAGGATGCTGAAGACATTGTGCAACCACAAATCTATTCATGAGAACGTTCTATGGCACTCGCCATATACTTGGGACCGGGAGACACTGAATACGTTTTGAGGGAAGTTCACGAAAGCACCTGTGGAAACCATTCGGGAGAAGAATCGTTGGCTCGTAAGATAATCGGAGACGACTATTACTGGATCGACATGGAGAGAGATGCGAAGGAGTTCGTGCGCAAATGTGATGGATGTTAGAGGCGCACACCGATGATCCACTAACTTGGGGAGTTACAACACTCGGTCCTGTCACCTGGGCCATTCATGAAATGGGGAATGGACATCGTCGGTCCCTTATCATGGGCACCCGGTAAGGCTCAATTCATATTGTTTATGACTGACTATTTCTCTAACTACGTTGAAGCTCAAGCATTCGAGAAAGTCCGAGAAAAGGAAATCATCGACTTCATTTAGGACCATATAATATGCTGGTTTGGTATGCCGCCCGAGACATACCAAATTTTTCGAGAAGCAGTTCATCGGCAGCAAGGTAAGCAAATTTTTCGAGGACCATAAGATCAAAAGGATCTTGTCGACACCCTATCACCCTAGTGGGAACAGGCAGGCTGAGTCTACAAACAAGAGCATACTCCAAAACCTCAAGAAGAGGTTGACCGATGCAAAAGGAAAATGGAAGGAAATTTTGCCCGAAGTCTTGTGGGCATACAGTACGACCTCAAAGTCTAGTACCGTGGCCACCCCATTTTTGTTGGTCTACGGTGTTGAGGCTCTAATACCGGTCGAGGTAGGAAAATCGAGTTTCAAGTTCCGATATGCAACCAAAAAGTCGAACGGCGAGGCCATGTGCACGAGCCTAGAACTATTAGATGAGAGGCGCGAGGTCGCCCTTGTCCAGTTGGCCGCCCGGAAACAACGAATCGAAAGGTATTATAACAGGAGAGATAACCTCCGGCACTTCAATATCGGGGACTTGGTGTTAAGAAAGGTGACACTGAACACCCGGAACCTAAACGAAGAAAAGTTGGGACCGAATTAGGAAGGACCATATCGAATTATCGAGATTACCGGTAATGGTTCGTACAAACTCGAAGCAGGAAACGGTGAGCGGCTACCGAACAACTGGAACATGACCCATATAAAACAATACTACTGCTAAGGTATGACCCCATTCATTCTTTCTTGATATATATTGCGAGTTGGACTAACACTTACAGGCAACAGCCAAAGGATGATGCAGTTGTTAGACCTGAAAGCACGCATTGCAAACTCTTTTTCCCTTGAACGGGTTTTGTCCCAAATGGGTTTTCTGGCAAGGTTTTTAACGAGGCAAAAGTGGATCGTGCTAACTTAGAATTGAAGACCGGCATTGAATCAGAACCGATGGTCGCATCAACAGTATCCAAGCCCTTTCAAAGACTGACCTCGAATATTAGGGGCCATCACCCTCGGGTCATGATTTTTAGCAAGGAAGGAAACTTTTGCTTAAGCAATTCTAGGCTCGGTGGTTAGGATTTATTATAAGGGCCAAACTTTTAAATGAACCGGGCCCGCGAAGAACGCCTAAGCCACAACACGAAGCTTTTTCACACTTACAATATTGTATATCACGCACAGGAATGCAAGAAAGTTTCTACCTTGCTGATATATATTTTGTCCCTCAGGACTATTACATTTTGTTCCTTAAAGATATCGAGCCCAAGGACCGTCTCTATCTGGATCCAATAATCACCCCACGCGGGGACTATCGTCGTAGATGAACTCGGACGGTTCAGGCTATCAAAGCCTAGAGACACAAAAGCCTATTAGGCAGTGCCTAAACTTTAGAGGATACGGCCACCCCCACTCGGGGATTGTCGTTCGAGACAAACTCAAATGGCTCGGGCTATTGAAGCCCGTATGTACAAAGCCTATTAGATAGTACCTTAACTTAAAAGGCTACGACCACCCAAGTAACGGCTCGGGGACGTCCGAAGCTCGTAATCAAACATAAGGCCTTCAAATATCCAAACCGGTTCAAAGGTTACCCTCGGCAAATTGTAGTCTAAAAACATCTAAACAAGCACTTTGGGGAAAGCTTCCGGTCATACCGAGCCCCCACAAGTTTCAAACAAAATTTACATCGAGAACAAGTCTTGTTCGAACCTCCAAACAAAAACTTATTACTATGTTTTATTCCGTGCTAAGGCATTTAAAATCCTTGCAATTATAAAGATGCCAAAAGTAATAGACTAAAAAATTGCCAAAAGGGAAAAAAAGCCTTATATACGTTCCAAAAAAGTCATTACAAAGGCCAACGAAAACGGCCTCAACAAAACAAATGTACAAAGTACAAATACAAAGAAAAATACCTAAGGCACCTACGCCTGATCTTCACCATAACCCGCCTCGTCACCAGGGCCGTCGGGGTCTTCTCCATCATCGAGTTTGCCGGAGCCCTCAGAGTCTTCCTCGCCCTTAGGTTCAGCCAGCTTCTTGGCCTCGGCCTCGAGCCTTTTCGCCTTTTCGGCCAACAAGTCAAAACCTCGGGCATGGATCTCCTCGAGGGTTTCCCTTCGAGACAACCGTTTCACATACTCAACGGTAACTTTCAGGCGGGCCTCGGCTGCCTCAACATCAGCCCTATACCGGGCCACCATCTCTTCAGCATCAACCCTGGTTATTTTCCTACACGGACCTTGCAATTTCGAGCTCCTTGCTAAGGGCATCTCGTTCAGCAATGGTCGAGCCTAGTTGAGCTTGGAAGTCTTCGATTGTTGGGCCCGTGCTTTGGACTTCTCTTTTGCCACTCGCAATTGGACATCTGCCGATGTCAACTGCTCCTGGGCGGTCTCTTTTTCTGAAGCCAGCCGGTCCATTTTTTCCTTACAGACATCGGTCATGGCCTGGACCTCGTTCATTTCAGCCCGAAGTTGTTCGATCCGGTCAATCTTCTGTTGGACCTGCGAGGTTTGGTCGTTAGTCGTTGTGGCTAAGTCATCATCACTAACCTCGAAAATCTTTACCTGTTCCAATAAGTTGGCATCCTCCTTCTAAGCCGCATCCAACTTGGCCCGTAGATTCTTGACGGCCCCTTCGTGTTGCTCACTGAGAAGCTTGTACATGTCTATTTTCTTAGTAAGCTCCATGGTCTCAGCCTCGAGCTGGTTAACCTCAGCCCGGTACCGGAGAAAACTTTCATGATGGAGTACCGAGGCCTGCAAAAGGATAAAAGGGAGAAAACATGAGAAATATCAAAAACTGAGTCAGAGGATGGAAGGGCATAATGATGCCTTTATCCGGTCCAGCGCCTGCTGCGCTTTGTTGAACAAGCACGGCACATCCACCTCGTTCATTTTTGCCTGGTCTTCTTCGGTTACCAAGCACTGGAGGTAGCTCGCTACTCCAACGGGGGCATAAAGAACCCGGGCATGCTCCGGGACGGTGATAGTTATTGACCTCTTACGGTCGGGATCCGCACTCGGGGCGCGAAACTGGTTGATCAACATTGGGCCCGAATTCAGCCATCCGGTTTCTGAAGACGGATGCTTTCTCGGCACCTTCAGGTCGCCCAACCTGGTGAAGTCTTCCAAAGCGGTCGAGTCTACACCCTCGAAAAAAGAACAAAGGGGATCGTCAACACCATGAGCCCCTTCATTGGATCACTCCTTCACCGTTCGAGCCTCATCAAACATGGACTCGGTGAACGAAGGCGACCTTGAAACATCTATTAAGGGTGCCTCCTTCGGGGCATGGACGGCATCCCGAAAAGTCTCGGTTCCGGTCTCCTCATTGACCTCCTAATTTGAGGGAGATCGGCCCCATGAATCTCCTGTTCAACAGCCACCTGCTCCTCGGGGGGCATCGACTTGTGGGCTATGGAAAAATCACCCTCCTTGAGCTCATCCCTGAGCCGGACGAGCAAGTCCGAGTCGGGTGATCGAGAGCTGGAGCTCTCCTTTGGCTTACGGACCAACCTTCTCTTTGTTTCCTTCTTCTCTAAACTCAGGGAGCCCGGAGTCTTCCTTTTCTTCTTCTCTCCTGCTGCAGCAGAGGGACGAGCAAATAGATCCTCGTCCCCTACTGCAAGCCTGAGATCAATGGTATTAGGCAAACCTGCAGAGGGAAAAACGAAAGAAAGGGGGTAAGTACGATGTGAATGGGAAAGCCAGATGTTACCTGTTCGAGGAAGGGTCTTACCATGAGAACGGGCTACCTAGCGGCCCCTCGAGCGTTTGCGCCATGAGCGCTTGGAATAAGGCATTTGTAAGCAAATGCCCTTGATCCACTCCTTAAGCCGAGGGATAGCGTTTGGGACTCGAGCAACAGTTGCACCACCACAAATACTGGTGAGGAAAAAGGAGATGAACGGAAAATCGACATTTTAAGGAAAGTTGCGCTTACGTGATACATTCCACTTCTCGGGGAATGGCCTAAACTCGGCAGGAATCAAGTCTACGGTCCTCACCCGGACGAAGCATTCCTGCCAGCCCCGATCCCGGTCCTCATCAATGCTTGAGAATGGGGCTTTGCTAGCCCGGCGTACGAGCTTTATCAGTCCCCCCTCGAAAGATTCAGGAACTTTACATGTGGAGTAGATGATTGATTGTGAACAGACAAGAGTCGATTTTGTTCACGAAATATCGAAGGAGGATTACGATCCTCCATAGCGATGGGCGAATCTGACCGAGGCATACTTCATACCTCTTACAGAAGTCCGGAATAACCAGGTCGACCAGGATCAGTGTGAAGGGGTAAGTGTAAACACTTAGATATCCCTCAACATGGGTAGTAATGTCCTCCTCAGAGTCAGGGACCACTATGTCCTTGCCTGCCCAGTTGCAGTCCTTTCGGATCTGGGGAGGACATCTTCGGTGATTGAGCATATATATCGTGATGCCTCCTCACGCCGACCCTGCACCAACGAGGGCTTCTCAACCTTAAAGTCAACGGCGACCGAATAACCCCCGGGAACAAACATTTTTAAGGGAGATTCGGCAGTCGGTTCATCGGTAGTCGCGTCAGCAGCGGACCTCTCGAGGACGACCATATCGGGAGTGGTTTCATCGATTTCGTTGGTCAGTTGAGAAGAAGAAGTGACTTTTTGGGAAACAAATTTGAAAGTTTTGGCCATTGTTATCTGGAATATGCTTGAAAGATTTGAGGAGAGGCTGCAAGATGAAGGTTAAATGCGCTGGTTTGGGTAGAAAGTAAGTAAAAACTTGCAACTTACTAAGAAATCTTGAAGAACGGAGGTAACAATATTAGAGTATGGAAAATGGTAGTAATATCCTAAAAACTCGAGGGTAGAAGCTTGGTCAAAAGGTGAAAAATGAACGAAGGAGGGAAGTGTTTATAGAAGGTTCGCACCGTTTCGCATTCAGGGACGACCAATCGATGACTGGCGCGTGTTTGAAGTCATAATGACACGACCGATGGGACGTTTTGGATTCTTTGTTGTTTCTGTCATGGCATATTGGAGAAGAATCGAAGTGCATATGTCATTTCCGTAAACTTACTCTCCGAGAAATGAGGGGACTATCTGTATAAGGGTGAAATCGAGCCCTTCGGATGCCTCAGTTATCGATGAAGTAAACGGAGCAGAGATGTGACCGTAAGGAACAAGAATCGAGGCAAGGAGCCCCTCGAATTGAGGTCCGGTACAAACACCTGCCCTCGGACGAATCGGGGCCACGCCCCCAGGTCCGATTCAAATCCTTAAACTTCGAATAACGTCATCAGATAATCGAGAACGACTAACAAAGGGCTGTGATATCCGTTCCCAGCCGGATGTCATGGCGTGAATCTTGGCTCGTACCGGCAGAGGATCAATGATTAGTAAAACGGAAGATTTTACCTTTTATAGAATTGTACTTAGGGTAAAACTCTCCTACTATATAAAAGGGAATCTAACTATTTATTACAATATGTTGTAACACGCATACCAAGCCAATTTTCTCTTATTTTCTCTGTTATTCAAAGATCTTATTGATGTTCATCAGTTTTCATTATTACGAGCCCGGGATCGGAGGCAGGCATTTCATTAAAGTTGTTACTGAGTTCGAGTTCACTCCCCATAATTGGTTTGACAATCTATCACGCCCCTTATCTGTTTAATCTAACGCAATATCATTTATATTGAACTAATCCGCGTATCCTTAAAACCACATATAAATTTAATCGTTATCTGTTTTTCAGGGTAAACATTAATATTATCACATCATTCAAAAAAATATTCATAGGTAAACTGCTTTAAAATTTAAGATTTATAATTTTAAAAATAAAAAACAACCTACGGAACAATAGTCACCGCCTAACCATGATCGTCGTCATTTTTTGGCGTTTTAGGGCCATAATATTGGAATTTCGCCTGATTACCAGATTTTTGTGTGCTATAGCTCACGCCTTCTGCGTGAGCTCTGGCATTTGGATCCGGATCACCTAAATATTTTCCGGGCCATCAAAAACGACTTAATGAACAATAGTCACCGCCTCGCCAATGATCGTTCCTCGTTTTTTGGCGTTTAGGACCATAAAACTGAAATACAGTCTGATTCCCAAATTTTCGTATGCTATAGCCCACGCCTTCTGTGTAATCCCGGCTCTATTAACATGTAAAAGTTTCTTCGGCCACCAGAAACTCAACACATACCCGCAACTAGTAACGATGGGTACGTAGCAAAAAAACTAAATATTTAGCTAGAACGTACAAATCCTTCTCTTGATCAAGATTTGTACTTTCTTACGTACCCAAATACTTGAAATTCATTTGCAGTTATATACATTAGTAATCACATCCTATCCAACAAATTTAAATAAGTAAATAAATTAGTACATTACCAATAAAAACTACGAAAATAATAATTAAATTGTAAAAGCTACACTAATAATTAATTAATCCCTACAACGGCTTTGATTTTCCTCCAATATTTCATTTCCCCCACTAATATATGCAGATAAATTCAAATATTTCTCTCCTTCTTCAGCCCTAATATCTCTCCACCTTGCACGACAAAGCACACAACTAATAAATCTTTTTCTACTACTTTTTTTCCATGCCATTAAACATTTTTCATGTATAGGGTTTTTACATGTCCCACAAACAGCAACTCCTTCTTCTTCGTTCATTTCTTCCAAACACACCGGACACGTGGCCCCATTTTCGACCTGTTGAAACATAATTAAATAATTAAAAACGTGTATTACTTTTAGATGAGTTGGTTAGATAATTTATAGCTTGTTTGGATGGTTGTTACCTATTGTTTGTATCGTATTGTTACTTTAAATACAATGTTTGTTTTAATTGTTACTTAAATTTTGTAGTATAGTATCCCGGGGCGAATGCACAAGGGTGGAAGCGAATTCATCCTGTTGGATTTTGCATATGTTACTGCTACTGTTTTCTAGAATAATTAGTTGTTTAATTTTAGAAGAAGTCTGCTAGAGTTTAGTAATTTAGTTGTAGGAGGAGTCTACTACTTTATTTATTTGGCTATTTAAAGCCCTATGATTAATAAAATTTTAGATACAATTTTTTTAATCATATTTTCAACCTTATTGCTGCTTGCATATTTTCTAAAATCCATAACACATCCGACATCGCTTCGCCGGAAAAAATATAAAATGTTTATATTTGTATTCCGTAAAAATTAAGCAATATATAATAATGACACCGCTTATTCTTAGCAAAGAGTACTTCTTGATCCACTAGTTAAGCTCATATTTGGGATTTTAAATGCCGTAGGTTGCTGGACCTAGACATTCTAATTTTTGAACATCTTTGAGCGAGTATTTTTGTTAAAAATTTGAGGCTAAAGAGAATTGAACTTATACTTCCCTTTGTATTATTCAATTAAAACATTGGGTCAAGGCTTTCAACTTATGGAAAATGGTATTAGATAATACTTATTTATTTATTATTATTTATTTAAATACGACACCGCTTACAAAAATTCTGCGTACACTTCGGATAGTATTGTGTCAATTGGTTTTATGGCCCATTACAAACTTGTTTTTAGTTTTTATGACCCCATCTCTTTTTTTACACATGAGAGATTTGCTTTTACACATGAGAGAACTGTCTTTTACATGTAAGAGATCTAAATAAGACATTTTCTTAAATTCAACATTGTAAAAAGCCATGAAGGCCTAAAATCCCGACAGTATCATTAAATTCATCGTTACGTAACGACGAAAAGTGCCACTTTATGTAACGACAGATTTGGTGTGATAGTGTCGTTTCCTTGCTTTTTTCTCACCTTGCCCTTCGTTATTATTAAATAATCATATTTTATCATTTGCCCTACTTTTTATATATTAACTCTACTCCTATTTTTTCTTAGTACTTTTTTTATTATTAGTGTGTGACATAATAAAACTATGACAAACGATACATTCTATCTAAATATTTTATATTCATCAAATTATATAATACAATACGATACATTATAAAACGACAAGTAACACCAATCCAAACAAGTTGTTAATGCTAACCTTTATTTGTATGGGCGAAGTCCTCTGGCGCTTTTCTTGAGAAAATAGACGATGAAACATTCCACGTATTTTTTCGGTTGCTAATGCTTCAGTTGAAATAGGTAAGTTAAGAAGACGTTGAAGCTGACATGGCCGAAGTGTCCTTCTGTAGAGACACGTGTCATCTATGGATACACCCAATACCCTAATAATCACAAATATTATGCATAGGTCATTAACGCTCTGTAAAATTTTAATATAAACAATTTAACTTATAGCATACACTAGCGACGTGCTCTTTCCGTTTCAATTTAGATGACACATTTCGCTTATCGAAGGTCAAACTAGATAAGTTTTGATCAATATTTTAAAATGTATGTTTTGTCCTATTTACATGAGCAAAATTGCAACTTATAATATTTTTTGTATAGTTATCTTAGTTTTAATGCCAGTGTGCGTGTATATATATATATATATATATATATATATATATATATATATATATATATATATATATATATATATATATTTCATAAAAAGAACGAGTAAAAGGATTGGAAAATTGACGAGAGAACAAAATGCTCTCACCTAATAAGCACAAACAATATGTGTTTGCAAGGGGTGGTACGATCAGGACAGCTGCATGAAGGGGTGGTGGAGAGAGTTACGGTGTAGACATTACACGTGGCACCTAAGACGAAAAAAGTGGCGTCGCAACGGTGGAGGAGGCAGAGGTGGTGGCTGAGAGCTCGGAATATTCTGTCGGCGAGGGGTTGAGTTGGCGTTAAGCGGCGCCGCGGACGGTGGTGGTGGTGGTGATCAGAAGGGGTGGAACTAGAGCCAATGAATTCCATATTTTTGGAAAGGATAAAGTAGTTATTATTACAATAGTTGGTTTTGGCATATTATACTGTAAATAGAAAGAGGGGATTATGTTTCTTTAGGAAATTAAAGGGAAAAGTGTGGAGGAGATTCTTTGTAGAGTTTAAAGGGATACGTGAGAGGTAATTTAAGGTTTAGCATCAATGGATACCTTTGACTTTGGTCTTTTCTATAAATTAGGTTACCCCTTAAGCACGTCTTATAAAAAAGGCAGTGCACTAAGCTCCCGCTATACGCGGGATTCGGAAAAAGGCAGGACCAAAAGGGACTATTATACGCAGTTTTACCTTGCATTTTAGCAAGAAGTTAAGCATGTGTTATAAAAAAGGACACTCCAATGCACTAAGCTCCCGCTATGCATAGGAAGGTCTATTATACGCAACCTTACCCTGCATTTTAGCAAAAAGCTAAGCACGTCTTATACAAATCCCAAAATTGAAAGAAGAATCAACTCAAATAGTCGACAATAGTCGCCTACCAATTACCACTTAAATTAAAAATAGAACATATGTATAATGTGTAATAATCGCCTAGCAATTTACCATTTAAATTAAAGATAGCTGACCGTATAATATATGTATAATTCATAAATAATATATGTATAATCATGTATAATTAATAAATAATCTATGTATTCTGACTAAATAAACAAAAAAGATGAAACTGATCAACTATTTATGTAAAGATCCCTAATTGAAACAAGGACAAAACTTGTACCTTTTCTTGTAATCAAAGAATAGAGGGGTTAATTAAGGAAGGGGAATCGTATGCGGATGAACAATCTTTGTTACATATAAAGAATAATAGTAGAAGAAATACGGGGTATTATCACTTTTAGCTCGCGCTAGAAACTATTTACTTTTGTAGCCGAAAAAGTAAATAAAATTTGTATAATTTTTGTATATAACATATAGAATATGTATATATATATATATATATACAAAAAAAAATATATATATTCGACTATTATTTTAAGAGCGGCTATCCAACGTCATTTCCCCAAGAAAAATAGGGGGCTGAAATTTTGGGGACAAAACACCAGAAATTAAAATTGTGGGTAATTTATGTCATTAGATAGAACAAAACGGATATTCACAGACATATTAATAGTGAAACACTAAATTTTCATTAACTTTAAAAACTTAAAAGGCACCACCATTTTATTTCGAACAAACGACATACATATTAACAAGAGACATAAAAACTACAGGAAACACTTACTCTCACCTTGGTGTTTACATCAATTAATGAAAAACATAAACACATGTCCTTACACACACTGTTGTCACTAAACCATAGTTAATTAACATATTCTTGCCTCAATTTATCACTTAACTATGGTAATGTATCACACGCTTTTTGGTGTGAACATTTGGTGCGGATAATTTTTTACCATCTCGAACCCATAACTGTTGTATGGGGTTCTTTCCAATGGTGAAGCTCAAAAGATGATATTCATAGTAGAAGATGCTCTCCCAGAAGCTTTAGAAACTTGGTACAATAATGAAAGCAACATAGCCACTAAAATGTAACCTCACTCTCACTAGACCTTCCACATTACTAAAATTTTATTTAATTGCGTGGAATATAAAAATACTTATCAGATGTTGTAGGCGTTGATCTGGAGCGAAAGGATATCAAACAAAGTACAGGCGAGACACCTGAGCTTCACGCGGAATATGGTATGCGCAATGCCATCCTCTGAGAAAGCCAAGGCCTTTGTTGATCTGGATCGATGAAACCATGCATGAGAAATTGTTCTGCTTCATCATCCATTAGTTCTCTGGCCCAATTCACACGTTTTGACGGGCAACTACCCGGTCCAAAACACCTGCAATAGTTTCGCCAACAAGCTAAACTGCCTTAGATATGATAGCTTAATGATAGGATACAGATAAAGGTTCATTAGCTTCGTTTATGAATCGACTTGCACACTTCTTATCAAGATTTTAGGGAGGAATTTAGGCCACAAATAGAACATTCCTACCTCAATCTCCACGATGCAGTATATCACTAAAATGTTTGGTGAAATAGAAGTACATATGATTTATTTGAAGTTTGTGGTAAATTGAAATATTTCAGAAGACTTACCGATACTCATAGAAGCAAGCAGTTCTCTCATTTTCTGTCTTGCCCCAGTTATTCCAACCGTCATGTTTAATACAGTGATCCATATGACAATAGGCATAAACCACCCTCCCGAAAGGCCCCCATGGGCGTCCAAGATGTGCATATGAAGAGCCTCCATTACCGGTGATCACACATCTGCATAATCCCAGGAAAAATGTTTTGAAAAACTAAGGACGAAAATTAGCATGAAAACTGGAAAAAAGTTCTTGCAAAATAAAGTCTCTAGATAATAATCTGACATTGAAAATCTTTAGTGAATCAAACCGAAGTGCGAGGTACAAGCTTAATGCCGAGCGGCTGAGATAAGCTCAATATCAAGCCTATCAACCAAGATGATCTATCTAGATACAGCTATGGGCTTACTTTAGATTTATCAAAAGTACTCCACAAGTTGGAATTCCCAATTTGTTCTGGTCGCTGAATAAGTGAAAGTTTGACAAGATTGAGGATGTGGCATCACAGTACGCGGAATTAAGCTTTTAGCTGGAAAATTTCCAACAATAGTTTCCATTGAATGAACAACGAGAGATCTTAAAGATAATGAAGAAGTATAGCCTTTCTATAAGACTCCATGCCTATAGCTAAGATCATCTAACTGAAAGGTTGTAGAAAAGGCTAAACATCACTTAAGCAATAAATCGACATAGTGAATAAAAGATCTTTTGACCGAGAACACATAACAGACGAGCAATCCGGGTCAAAAATCATCAAGACACAAAGCTCGTTAGCCAACTCAAAACTAGAATTTTCCTCGGTGAATATATAGACAGAAAAATATACTATCCTCTACTTCAAGAAATAACACTATAGGCATAGACTGTCATTCGAATGATTCCATCTTAGCTTCTAGCTTCTACAAAATGACAGTGCTTTTTCTCTGGTTTTCTTTTCCTTCTGCTCAACTCAACATACGTGTCAACCCTTCAAGTTCCGGAAAACATCACAGAAAAACTCCCTTTTGTAATATTGAAGTATGACGTCTTTAGAAGTTATGCTTGCAACATTCTTTATCCAAAAAAAAAGATTGGTGGAATCTACACCGGATCAAAGAAAGGGGAATGTAGCCAAGAATTAGGAAAGAAAACCAATGTCCCATAAATTGGGAAATTCAATCGCCCGCAACTGGATTAATGTCAGGCAGTTAAAGTTTCTTAACAGTGCTGAGGGTTTTAGATGCCAAGCGATTTCTTCTACCCTATTGGTATAAAGGTAACATTGGATCTGCACCAAATTTATCTAAAGAGCAAACAGAATGAGTGACAAACGTAAGAACCAGCATGAAGACAAAATGAAGTGCTTCAAACTCTAAATAACCAGAGCTCTGAAATAATAACCAATCTAACTACTCACAAACCTCAGAAACACATAGCCAGTCGTCTCTTGAGAAGATTTCCTGCTTTGTGCAGTAATGAATCCGGCCGATTTGCAGTGTATGTGACAATGCTCTAAAACAGCAGTGCTATTACCAAAAATAAAATCTACACTTCCTTCAATATAGCAATCTTTCAAATATTGCTTCCCGTAGTGCAAATACAATGTATCCTGTAGACATAAATCAAATAATTTTCTTTAGAAAAATGTAAAAACTCTCAAAGTCGCTACTGAAAAATGAGTATGTTAAGCAACAATATTCCATGTAACCAAGAAGTAAATGTGATATACACATCAAGAAGGGGGACAAATTGGCTGGGAATTAATTAAGGCAGCTGTACATTTTTGGGCATGGCAGGAAAATGAAAGGAATTTATAAATGAACCTAAAACAGATGAAATCACTCTTGGGGAAATCAGAGCACATATAAGCTACAAAATTTCTTCTTTGACATGGGTCATCGACACTTGCAGGAACTGGGAACTGACTATCAAATTGGATTTTCCAGAAGGTGCATAAGTAACGTAGTATACACACCTGCCAACCAAGAAATCTGCAATTATAAAAGGCACAACGATCCGCTGTAACTCTGATTGCCACTGCTTGTCCTGATCCCTATTGGAAAAGAACAAAAAGAAATGAAGCATAATAAACCGAGCTACATGGAGCATTTGTATAGAGCAAAAAGGACATTACCTGAGGAGCAGAGTTTTCAAAGGTGATGTTCTCAGCAATAAAATCCTCTCCTTCCACTATTGTACTTCCACACCCAAATGTCCCGGTACCTATTAGCCTTGCAGCCTATGTGTCAATCGAACTGAAAATTAATAACTGAATAGCACAACAGTAAGCATATGAAGGAGAGATGAATATCGAAGTACATGCTAATGTTTCATCTAATATCTTAAGCTGTGCTAAAGATCAAAACTTTTATTCACTTATGTCTTACCACGTCTGTCACCTGTTTAACACATATAGGTCCAATGCTTCTGTTTCATCTAAAGCTGGATGCAGACATTTATTTGCTTATTTATGTCTTTAACACGTCCATCATGTGTTTAACATGCCTGGTCGAGTTATTCCGTTACACTTAATCCCGTTTGGCCGTACAATGTTTCCTTATTTGCAAAAAATACTGAAGTTCATTATTTGCAAATAATATCAACATCTGAACTTCACTGAAATATTGAAACATGCCTATTAAAAGAGTATCTCAAGTGAAATAATGACTTTTACCCACAAAACACCAAAGACATTTTCCCTCTAAAATTCATGTCCAAACACAACTTCAACATTCAAATACTCTTGTTCAACTTCAAATGCAAATAATCCCTTTTTTTTTTACTTCAACCAAATATTGTCCAAAACCGACTAAAACCATTAAAGATAGACATTTCTTTTCACTTACTTTAGCACATCTCAAGTTCAATTCTTCTGTTCAACTAAAAGTTGAAACCGTTAAAGATAGATACTTTTAATAATTTCATTATTAAAATTGATAATTTTTATTTATTTAATTATGTAGTCAATACATCGGCAGCATGTATTCCACCAAAATGCAAAGGAAAAAAGGGATAACAGCATTTATGGTCCCCCGGTTATTGGTAATTTATGATTTTGATCCTTGTGATATCTAACAAAGCACATTGAACCTTCAAGAAGTGGTGCACTTTAAATCCTTTTGCTTGGGACTCTTCACAAAATGACTGAATTATCAACTTAGACACTACTTAATTACCAATGTGTCCAGTGGCGTACGCAGGATTTTTCATAAGCGGTGTCGCTATTTTTAGCAATAGGCCTGTAACAGTCAAAAAAAAATTGTGGAGCCAAGGGAGTTTGAACCCAAGACCTCACACATCAAATTTGAAGTTGTCAACCACTAGACTATTAAACTATTTTGATGCAAATGTGTCACTTTTAATGATTTTATCTTGTATTTCTGTTTTACTTATTATTTTTATATACATATATAGTATAATTTTTCGACGAAGCGGTGTCCAGTGACACCGCTTGGGTCCACGTAAATCCGCCCCTGAATGTGTCATATTAAGTTGGCATTATTACTCAATATTTGAGGGTAATAGTTAATACTATAGTTCTAAAAATAGTCTAAATATAACATATTTCCTACATACGAGGACCAAAAACACACATTTTTGTTAATTGAAAGTTAAATATGCTAAGTTAGATATCACAAGGACCAAAATCATAATTTACCAATAACTGAGTGACTAAATATACTATTCCCACCCACCCACCCACCCAAACAAAAAAAAAAAAAAA